GGGTATCTGAGAAATTTCGTAAATAAATTTATAGTAAAACTATCATGGCAGCTGTCTTTTAGGCTAGTAAATAATTTTTAAAATAAATGATATAAAGTCACCCCGGGAGAGTGTATCACAAAGATTCTGTTTTCATGTCACTGTCAGCGGTCCCTACAGAGAGAGGGTGGTGGTCTCGTCAACCATAACAAACAAGAAACAGTCTTGTTGGAAGACCCTGTGCGGGTCACCAGTTCTGTAGGTGCAAAGTAACTGTAGTTTAAAAGTTAACCAACCCCCTTAAAACTCTCACTAGTAAATCCCTACTACTTTTTAACAGTGAAGAAGAACGCAGTCTATGTTGATTTATAACATGATTTAAAGTGCTACGTCAAAGTGTTGTGTGTGACTTAACCTAGAGAATGTTGACTCGCTGTAACTTCAAAAAAACTTAAAAAAATAAGAAGGTAATGTGTAGGTCAAAGGTCTACTTCACAGGGAACAAGGACTCCCATTAAACACCACAGTCCCAGCCAACAGGAAAATGCTGGGACCTGCTGGGGCCTGTCGGTGCTTCCCAGGTCATAGAGTGTCTCCCAGCACTCACTGCGCACGCAGGAGGCCATCTAGCCCTCGTGTATTTTCCCAGAAGCCCGTTTCTCTCCCTCCCTGGCCTCCTCGCCATGGGCTGTGTCCATCATCGGGCGCGATCTATGTGGCAGAAGTTCGCACAGCTCCCTGGGGAAAAGCCTCAAAAGGCAAGATGGGCTATTGAAGACCAACATTTCCCCCTTCCTTATGAGAAGAATTTTAAATGACCAAGTTTTCTTTTTCACCCCAGTAACAGTTTCTCTATTCTAAAGAGAATTTTTAACTTCGGTAAGAAAGACTGCAAAGCCTTTACATTGATCTTTCTTGATCTATATTTACATACTTTAAATAAAAACTTATATAAACAATATTATTGGTATGAATCTCCAATCAATTATTGGTATGATGGGATTGCAAAAGATTTCCGTATAATTTTCAGCACGTGTCATTTGAAATATCAGATGATGCTAAAAGAACTGAAAGGGAATATGACTTTTAAAAAATCAACAAGAAAAAAAATCCTAGAATGCAAGAAAAGACACAAACTAAAATATAGGCGTGAGTGGCAGAGCAATTGTGGGCGTCAGAGCGCGCTGCAATAGTAGCGCCTGCCTACCGGCATCTTACGCCAGGAAGGGCAAATCTCAAAGGCTCTGTCAGGGCAGATTATGAAAAAGGGGTAATATACATTTTCTTAAAACCCTCTTATTTCGGAGTTTGGTATTGTCCCTTTTGAAAAATGCCATTTCTCTAGTTAATGAAAAACGTTAACAGGGCACTTTGCTAAGCAGTTTTTGAGGTTCTAAATGACGGGTAAACGGAAACACTTCATCTATCTGTTTGAAAAGCTATAGAGAGGCAGCCCACAGGAAGTGAGGGTGGGGTCCCTTTTTAGGTTATGATTATTAGCTCGCTCCCCCTTCATCACGGGCCCCAGAGAAGTGTGGCGCAGACTGCTGCGGAGTTGTGCGCTCCTCCAAGCCCTGTCAGCAAGTCTCTGCCCTTAGTTTACTGTCTCTCCTCACTGGTGTTGGACCCCGACCTCTTTAACAGGACCAACAGCGCTGTATACGAAGAGGGCGCTGCCATGTGTTCTTTCCTTCTCTAAGCGAGAGCAACAGCGCCTTAGGAAAATAAACAGAATGGAGTTTCCAGAGGCCTCCGGTCCGCGGCGTGTGCACCTGTGCGGCCCCTCCCGTCCATCACGGCGAGTCCTGGCCCCTTCCTGGCGCAGAACGACAGGAGCGCCCCGCGCCATCATGCTACTCTGGGGCGCAGAACGACGGGAGCGCCCCGCGCCATCATGCTACTCTGGGGCGCAGAACGACAGGAGCGTCCCGCGCCATCATGCTACTCTGGGGTGCAGAAGGACGGGAGCGCCCCGCGCCATCATGCTACTCTGGGGCAATAAAACACTCAGGTAGGCTTTCTCACCTCCACCGATTCTGGGGGGGCACCATCAGCTCCATTCTGCCTGCCAGTATGGGCACAAGGGAAGATCGACTTGAATAACCCACAATAATGAGCTAATTGGGATTTGTATTATGCTAACGTCCAAATTCATTCCTCCAAACAAAGAGAAAGAGAGTTCTTATGAATCTTAATTTCTGTCATTGTGTCAGAGGCCTCTCCACTTTGAACAACATCTGCAAATTTCAGACATGCTACTAGATAGCGGAGATGAAATATGAGTAGAGACGGTCTCTACCTGCAAATGTCTGGAATCAACAGAACTACGTTATTAGGGGAAACTGGGCTTGCTTCGAAGCGGAAGCTTAACCCTTAACCAGTTAAGTGACGTGACTTAATTTTAATTGTTTGTGTGTGTTGTATGTGTGGGAAGACCTTTTGCATTTCTTTACCTCAGACTGCTAAACAAAAATTCATTTTCTTCACATGACTGAACCTCGGTGGTGGTGGGAAGTATAAGTCTGTGCTGTGGGGGTAAGTGGGTGGTGATACCAGCAAGAGGTCCAGAACTTGCAGTTTTAAAATATTATAACTAAAGCTTGATGTCAACTCAGATGCCTCTTTACATGAAAGGAGAATATGCCTTGCTTGTGATAATCTGGGCAGATATTCTGTGAAACTGATCAATAAATCAAAGGCTGAAGCAGTTTCTCCTAAGTGGTTTTCCTGCCCCAGTACAAGCGCGCGCGCGCACACACACACACACACACACACACACACACAGACACGCACGCGTGCACAGACACACCACCATCACCATGCCCCCCCTCTGCTTCATTCTCACTGTCAATGCCCTCTGATTGGCCAGCAGCGTTGAAAACACTCTACACCATCAGTACAGCTGACCCCAGGGTCTCCAGGCATCTTTGGTCCATCCACACTCATCCATTCCGCTAACTCATATGCATAGCGTTTGTCACTGGTGTGTGAGGACCTCCACACAACTTCTTCCAGAAACATGGAGGCTGACCCTGGGGGCAGGAAGATGTCAAAAACGAATAAAGATTTCTCTTCCTTGGGGTGAACTCTACAGTTGTCTATAAACAAAAACATTTTGTCTTTCTCAGTTAAACTTAAGTTTCTGATCTTTCACTAAATGTACAAAAGAGATAAAGCAGAAAGAGGAATTTCCAGCAATCTTGCAGCAAAGGTGAATGCCATTTCCCAGTCTCAGGTTTTACTTCATGAGCTTTTAGTATTGGTACATGATGAGATCGATATCAGTAAAAAAATCACTGTTATTAATTAAAAATAAGAGTTTGGAAAATTTTATAAAAATAATCTTAGGAATTATAGAAATTTTTGTATTTAAAACAAGTTGTATTGAAAAGACACTCTTACCTCAACAGACTCCTATAAAGGGGCACACAAAATCATTTAATAACGGTGGATCTTCCTCATCATGTGTTTAATAATTAAGAAATACATATTAAACAGAATCTATTTATCCAAATTTGTCCATAAGGAATCTATAATATATAATTATACACCATCACACTGGGCAGTTAAGTTTCAAGTTAATAGCATATTACCTGGCTTGATATGTGGCCATCATGTTATGTCCAATAATCTAAAATTAAGTGAAGGGTCATTATAGAAATACCCATATGAAATATTAACTCAGTCACAGAAAATGAGTCCTAAAATCCCTCCAGAAATGCTACTCAACAAAGAGACACACAAAAACACAAAAAGGTTTTAATGCAATATCCAATAAGCCCAGACGCAATGAAGCCCATGGGTAGAAACGCAATCCTCTATTCAATGCTACAAATGTCCTTATTTCTTTTTTTAAAAAAATAATGAGTTTGTTTTTTTCCTTTGTCACTGCTATTCTTCTCTCTATTCTAACACTATGATTATACCTTATGGCTGGGTAGTCCTCTTAGAACTGTTTCTGCTGCATATGCCTGAGGACAGAAAGATCAAAAATGACTCCCAAGTGTAAGATTTCTCAAACTCTCAGGGGTGCAGGACGAGTTTTCACCCTAATCCTTCCTGGCCTGACATTCAGGAAATTACAATGGTCAAATATTACTCACAGAATGAAATGGGAAAAGAAAAGACACAGAGAGTCCAAGTCCCATTTCTTAAAAATTAAGATTTAATTTCATCAACGTAAGATTTACTAGCAACCAACTGGAAAAATGTCTAAGCACGTGCTTGAAATTTTCTGTAAGCTCATTTTGGACTGGTAATCAAGTGGCTGCAGACAGGTGCTGACACTTGGGTTGGTCTCCACTTTCAAAACCAGAACCCAGGGACTGGTCACTGCAGGCACTCTTTTGAAGATGCACTAGTGGCTCTCCATGTCTCTTGGGTTTTGGTAGGTCATTTTAGACAACACATATCACACACTCTATTTCTAGAGCTGTGGTAATAAAAATAAAGAAAATGTAGTCCTTTTGCTTTTTAAAAAATTGATTTAAGGAGAAGGGAGAGAGAGAGAGAGAAACACTGACGTGAGAGAGAAACATCAATTGGTTGCCTCCCACAAGTGCCTAGACCGAGGATCAAACCCACAACCTGAGTACGTGCCCTTACCAGGAATCAAACTGCTACCTTTCGGTGTATGGGACAATGCTCCAATGTCTTGTGCCACACCAGCCAGGGTGAAAACTAAGCCCTTTCAGAAAGGTTGATGGCCACAGCAAGAGCCAGAGTTTTTAGCATATGTCACAAGAAGCAAGGGCAGAAAACTTGGAGTTCACAAAGAATTCTGGAGCCTTTTGAAAAGAAGCAGGGAGATCGTTCCGTCTAACCCCTTGATGTTATAAATGTGCAAATTTAGGCCTGGAGAATAGGTGAGTGAAGAGCAAAAGTACAATCAGGTACCTTGCCACTAAGCGCAATCCCCTTCCCACCATCACCCACTCCTTCCATAGACCTTCAGTTCCACTTTAGTAAGTTCCTATTGGCCTACAGGGTTCACACGGGGCGACGTCAGTGTGTATACAGACCTTGCATCTGGTAGCTGTACGGTGCCTGTCCAGGTTGAGGGGTGCCGAAGCTGGTGCCATAGCTGAGAAAGCCTGTCTGGCCAGGTGACTGAGGCTGTGACAATCCACCTTCAGTCTTGATGCCTGCCCACAATGCACCTAAATCAGTTAGTGATAGCTTATCTATCTGTTCATTTCCAAAAGCTGGTAAATATGCAAAAACACTCCCACAACGGTTTGTCTCAAATGTTTCCCAATATTATCTTAATAATCAAGTGTGTATATGCTTAGAGTGAAATACCCTAAACTATAACTTCAATTTAAAAAACTGGATTGTTGCAGATTTGAATGCCTACTCACATTGTTCTTTCTTAGTGTTTTTCTGAATTCCATTTTCTATGAAATGGAACTCCAGTGATAGCACTTTTATACTTGTTTAATTGTTTTACAAGAGTTTAAGATCATCTTTCTCCTCTATAATCAAGAAATGGTCATAACTAAACTTTAAAGTATTCCAAAAGTTGCTATGTTGATTATGGTCAGAATCAAAATCCGCGCCCCCCCCCCCCCCGCCCTCTAAAAAGTAATTAGATTCTCTAGCCTCATAGCATTTTCTTTCTTTACTCTTTTACCACAAGGATGTTTTTAGTACACACTTATTTTGAAGTCAGAGGAGGCAATTTTGGGTACAGAATAAGCTGCACAAGGGAAAAACTTCCCAATATTCAGATCCTAGCAGGAAATAAGCACACAAAAAGCAGGATATTAAGAACTAAATCCTGTAGAACAGCAGAGTGACTTATAAACAAGTGAAGTTGCCCAGTAGTTCCCATTTTGTCCCTTGTAGTTTCAAATATTTATTCAAATATATTTTTTAAGGTTGCTGATCAACTGACTTAATTTTTTATTAAGTTGTATACTTAAAAATATTTTTAAATTTTTCAATTATAGTTTTATAATATTATATTAATTTTAGGTATACAACCCAGTGAAGAGACATTTACATAATTTATGAAGTGATCACCCCAATAAATTGAGTACCCACCTGGCATCATAAGTACTTATTACAATTCAAATAGAATTGGTTCAAGTATAGCCTAAAGTACACATTCTGTTTATGGTATTGTAATAGAAATAATGTATTTGTGGCCTCCAAGTACTTCCTAAAGCCTCAGTTTCACATCCTAGTTTCAGGACTTGGGTCTGGCAGGATTGCTGTACAGGCTCAGCCCTGGATTCTAATTAAAGACAGTCACGAAAGTTCCCAACTGTCCTTCATTTCTGCCAAGGGAATTCACATTTTTGAATAATTTTACTTTGCACTTCAGATAAATGATATCTCAAATCTTTGGGATCTAGAATACACAGTAGCCTCACTGTTTATTTCCATTTTAGGGGAATGAAGTCAGGTAGAATGCATCAGTAGAATGAAGTTAGGTAATTTTCCTGAGGCAGTTGAAGAATCTGACACTTGGCTGAGAGAAAGCCTCCTCTAATTCCTGCAGTATCACTAAATAACCTCATAATGGCCATGACATTTAAGTCTTACCCTTAACGTTTTAAAAAATGTGATTTTCTCTGTATAGGTCAGTGATGGCGAACCTATGACACACGTGTCAGAGGTGACACGCGAACTCATTTTTTTGGTTGATTTTTCTTTGTTAAATGGCATTTAAATATATAAAATAAATATCAAAGATATAAGTCTTTGTTTTACTATGGTTGCAAATACCAAAAAATTTATATATGTGGCATGGCACCAGAGTTCAGTTAGGGTTTTTCAAAATGCTGACACACCGAGGTCAAAAGGTTTGCCATCACTGGTATAAGTAATACTAACCAATGAATAACCCATAGGTATAAATAACCCCTGGATGGCTCTATGGTGTGATGGCTCTAGAACCTCCCACTCTTCCCATATTGTCACAATAGGGATCGCCCCCCTCCTCTCTCCATCAAGGTTATAATGATCTGCTTCCAGTCTCTACCTGAACCACCTCTGCTGTTAGCCTGGAGGGATAGGAATCTTTGTGTTAGAAACAGGTAAGGAAAAGCAGGAGGAGGTAGGAAAGGCCCATAGCCACACCTACCTCTGTAGCTTCTACCCACAAACTGGCAAATCCATCTCATTTATCAACTCTAAGCAGGTCTAGTGAGGACTAGCATGAGCTCTTCTTCCCCACCGATCTATTGTTCTAACTATGAAAAGATTTGCCTATCTTTTCTTATAGGGTCTCAGTAAAAAGTCAGGGGGGCGCAAATCCTTGGAGAACACCTTTTAAGACCATTGGAACCTTGACTATCAGCAGTTAAAAACCCTGAACTATGTGCTCAAGCAATGGGGAGAGGGCTGCCATATTTCTTGATGCACAGACCCAAGGAAAAAATAGAATGCCTGGTCAGAAGCACTGGGGGCATCCCTTTGTAGTCAAGGCCCAAAAAGAGAAGAAAGAAGGTGTTCAGGAAACTTCTAAGGACTGAGAATCCTTCCAAGAAGATTTATAAGCATGGAAGGCCCAGGGGTCAAAGCCCTTTACAAGGAGCCTTGCTCTGACCTCCTCCCAGCCCTACCTGTCATATTAAACTTCCCATCCTTACTCTACTAGTTCCGATTCTAATCGCAGAAACTCTGCTCATCTCACCCGCCAGGAACAACTGTTTCAGACAATAGGGACATCTGCTAGTGGTTTGGAACTGGAGGAGGCCCTACACCACAGCCCAGATGGTGGCAATGGGCCCTACCATGACTGAACTGAATGGGAGGGAGATGGTCAGAGGCAGCCCAAGCAGTACCAGGAATGGTCCCTTCCCACAACAGTGCTGGCAGGTCTACCGAACGCTAGCATGGTCAATACTGGAAAAGACACAAACTTCAAATAATCAGCTTACAATAAAATCTGAGAATATACACTGGGGAATCCTTAACTCACAGTATAGAACTAAAGCTACACAATTCAAATCATAGATCCTCTCAGCAAAAGAATAGTTAAAAAGTAAATTACAGATAAATTTGATTTATAGCTAATATTATTTTGAGAAACCTTGAGTCAAAGTTATGGAAATGAAATACAATTCTAGGAAGTCCATTGTATGGCTGTTTTTTTTAAAGTCTAGTTTAAAAACATTTAGCTAGATCACATTCAGTGCTGATAGTTTTGAAATAGAACTATAAAGGGTGAAGTTATATATAGATAATTTAGATTTCAATTTCTAGATATTTTATAAGAAATTTATATATGGTTGCCTTGGTTTGGGGTAAAGACAGAAAAATGAAAGAAATGAAGTAATTTACCTTCTAATTATTAATGAAAAGCTTAAAAACATTTCTTTCAATATACTACAGAAAAAATACTATAAAACAATAGCAGCAGACGCATAATTAGAATATTGATCACAAAATATAACCCTCTGCAATAAGCACAGACTTACTTATTCTACCAGTTCTTTCCTCCAAAATTAAATACTTTTTCTTGATAAGTTTTTATGTATTTCTTCATAAAATGCCAATAATTCATACATTTCTATTCAAATGGGTTGCAATTTGTTTAAAATTAGAATTGCAATTCAACTGAAAAAAGGGTATTTTGAAATCCTACGATTCTGTAAAACTAAACTTGGGAGGTTTTGCCTGACTTATTTTTAAAGTACAGGTATTGACCCTGTAACAATGGAGCTAAATTACCTGGAGATACAGATAATCTGCAGGTGAGGAGGAACAAACGGGAGGTGAGCTTGAACCGCTTCCTGATTTGCCTCTTTAAAGCACGGCCCGCGCGGCCCGCGCCAAGCTGTGTAGCTCACTTTTCCTAACGGTGGATAAGGCTGAAACGTGATCACACTACCACCCTCGAGTTCAGAGCGAGGGTTTGTTGAATTCCGCTTGTACTTCCCTAATCGTAGCCAGGCATCTGATAAATAGGAAATGAATCTTTACCCCAAAAGACTTCATTCACAGACGTTTTATCGCAAATATGCACCCACATACTTTGCATTCCAGAGCCAAGCGCTCAAATGTCAAATGAAGAGGGGGCTATAAATAGAAGGAAATGAGAGCAAGAGGGCCTGTGACCCTCGCCATCTAGTTGCCACCTCTGACCTCAATATAAGCAGCCCCCAGGTCTCACAATGTTCACCTGAAACGATCGCATTAGGAGGGTAGGCACAAAGGTGACAGCGCTTTCTAAGGTGGCCCAAGATGACAGTCTTTCCGTGCCACTCAGGTATGCCCGCCCGAGAATGGCACCCCTAAATGGAAAATCGGACTTACTCACCATATGAGGAAATTCCGTATGGCTGTCCCGGCTGTGGGTAGGTAGCGTAGGCTGTGGCTTGCTGCATTCCTGTGGTGAACTGTGTTTGCCCATATGCAGCCATAGTTTGTGAGGAAGGGGTAGGGAGAATATGTGGGTATGCTCTGCTATTTGTCAGAAATGACAGAAAATGAAAGCCCATGCATTAGATGGAAACATGCAAGGAAACCGATTCACAAGCATTTCACAAATTTCAGTTAGACTATCTCTGCAAGTACAAGTTCAAATGTAAGATACAAAGTGCTGAGAGACCTCCGTCTCCACCAATGAGGCCCAAAACAAATTTGCATAAATACATTAAAGTCTCTATGAAATGCACTTGAGTTTAAATTAAGATGTAACATGGGCACAGGACATGACTGGAAATAAGGTACAAGACTACTCAGAAAAAGCTACTTATGGAGAGAAAATACATCTTACTTGGAAGGATAGATCTGTGGTGGGGAGAACTGGTGAGTGGGTCTTGGGCTGAAGCTGCTGCTCCCAATTGCTGAAAAAAACAAGAAATGCACAACAATCAGAGCAAAAGACAAAATATGTATCAAGCAGGGATATAGTTTGAACTGTAGGCTGACCACAGAGATTTTCTAACCTGTAGAAATAGAGCCAACCTAATAGAAAGTAAAACCATATTAAGAAACCTATAGGAACTGATGAAGTGGTTTTAAGTTTAAATGAACTCTTAGAAAACATAGTCACAATCTTCTAAACACCTGCCAGCGTGCTGTGATGGGCTTTTTGGTGGCAGAACATGAAGGGTACAAGGAGTCCTGGCTACTGTTTGGAACGATGCTGAAAGGGGAGATGTGAAGTGGGATTTCAGGGCTGGGCAGGACCCAGAAGGTCACCTGGCCTATTGTTTCTGCTCAACGGGAACACACACCTGGGACCGGATTACCAAGAAACACGGTCTAATCTTCTCCCCAGTGAGCAGAAATAGGACAGGTCCTCATTTGCCTGCACTGATTTAGCAATATTTCTTAGTGAAAATGCATTCCTATAACTATCTTAAATTTCTCAAGTTGCAAGCTGAGCCTGTATTTTCTTGGCTGCGGTGGGTGTTCCTTTGCCTTAGTTATAGGTGCTCAACTTCAGTGTCCAAGTAAAAAGCTGTGTGTGGCTTTTTTGTTTGTTTTTTTTCAAAGGGAGCATTCAAGCAGAATTTTGTTTCCAAAAAGCACATACATTTAATTCATTATATCTCAGAAATGTACTAAATTCTTCTATCAAATGTTCTCTTATGTTCCTCTGAACAAAAGAAACACAAATCCATTTTTGCTAACAGCAGGCCTTAAAACCTTAGTTTTCAGCTTCTTTCGCTATACATAGGGCTATTTATCTGTCTATGTACATATATAACTCTATACAGTTTAATTACATACATACAGACATATATAATACATATTATATATGTAATGTATATAATATACATAATGTAATGTATGTATATATAGTTTCCCTCAAACTCTATTCTCTGCCTGGCTAAAATGTATACTCTTTGATTCTTTGGGTAAATTATCACCAGATGTAATATGTTTATTTTCTTCTTCACTAATAATTCCTCTCTTCAGAGGTTCTATTATTTATTAACTGTAGTCTTCATTAAAACCCTTCTCAAGTTTTATATATTGTTCATAACATCATATCAGTACATTTATGCCTCTCAAATGTAATTTTCTAGCTCATGTTCGGGAGAACATTGGTGGCATTGAACTAGAATCTCAAAATCTATGACTACCCCTTTCCTTGGAAAGCCAGTAGGCCCAACCCAGTGACAACAGAATAGATCTGGACTGGCACCCCTCCTTCTAGCTGCCAGACTTCAACCCTGTGGCCGTCACTGTGGCCAAGACGGGGTCCACGCTGAAGAAATGGCTGGCTGGCCCACTGATGTCCCTCTGTCCTCAGGCACATGTTGAGCACCACTTTGTTCCAGGCATTGGCTAGGTCAGTGATGGCGAACCTTTTGAGCTCGGCGTGTCAGCATTTTGAAAAACCCTAACTTAACTCTGGTGCCGTGTCACATACAGAAATTTTTTGATATTTGCAACCATAGTCAAACAAAGACTTATATTTTTGATATTTATTTTATATATTTAAATGCCATTTAACAAAGAAAAATCAACCAAAAAAATGAGTTCGCATGTCACCTCTGACACGCGTGTCATAGGTTCGCCATCACTGGACTAGGTGCTACAGGTGCAAAGACAAGTTCTGCCTGTCACAGGCAGGGAGGGAGCACACAAACAGCCTTGGGAGGGTTAGTTCAATATTGCAGTTTAGAGAAGGGAGGGATTAGTGAGAGAACACCAGGACCACAAGGGACTACCACTTGCCAAGGTCACCTGTGACTACAACCTTTTCTATTCCCATTTTCTAAGCCTGAATAGAAGCCAAGGGCAAAGGAGATTTATCCCACAGAGTCCCTGCACAATCACAGTTACAGATAAATTTTTTAAAAATAAGATTATTACCAAAAAAAACTACACAAATGCCATCTGACGACGGAAACCACAGAAACCCCTTTTTATTCTTTTCTAGCTCTATCCCTGTGTTTTTCAAATTGTGAGTCAGGACCCATAAAAAGATCATAAACTCAACTTTATAGGTTACACCCAGCAATGTTTTGTTTCAAACAGAATAATAAAATAGAAGATACCAGGGTTATTACGCAGGGTATGAGAAGTTCTATGAGGCTCTGAGTTAGATTAAACACAGTCTATGTGTGTACACACGACAGAAGAGGTTTGAGAGGCTGCAGTGTGTGATAATTAAACACATTCTGGAATCAGAATTAATTTCAGCTCCGATTTAAGTTCCGACTCTTCTATGTGGTCTTAGTCAAGTGATTTGATCCCTCTCAGCCTTGATATGTTCTCACGTAAAATGATGGCAATAATACTACCAGTAGAAGTGTTGTGAGGACTAAATGAAATAATCAACATAAAGTGCATAATACAGTGTTTCTGTAATATTTTTACTTTCTCAGACACCCAGATAACCACTATCTTTGTCCCAAATTTGCCATTCCTTTTGTATTTTTACTTCCACTTAATGGACAGCATCACCTTCTGTTCAGCAAAATGCTTAAAAAGCAGGATTCTTTTCCCCCATTTACATCTGGGGGTAGAAATGAAGTAACACATCCAAGTGACTAAATGAGAAAGTATTTCCGCCAGCCTGACTCTTTTCATCAAAACATACTATCTCTTGGCAGCCTACATAGAGACTAGAAACCTCAAAATCATCTCATTTTCCCCCCTCCCCTTCTATTTCATGACTCTCAAGTCACCTATCCCAAATCCAGAAATTGCCTGTTGACTTTCCTGCATCCTCCATCCCTTCTCTCCCTTCCCAGTTCAGGTTGTCAGTATGTCTCACCTGGACAACCACAACTGCCCCCTAACTTCTGTTCCTGAGTCCCAGCCATCACCCGCTCACTCCCACTACTGTCTCTACAGTGATCTTTCTTTAATGGAAACTTCATGATCATTCTCCAGCCTGCAGTCTGTCCACTGAGCTCACATTATCCCTAGGAAAAATTCCAAATTCTTGGCAGAGTACACGAAGAGCTGCAAGCTTCCACCCTCCCCTGGCTTAGTGTTCCATAGCCTCCCTGGATGTGAGGATGCCCCATCCGTGCCCTGAATTTTCATGTCATCTTAACTGCTCTTTATACCAGACCCTCTGCCTCGCAATGCTCTTCTCTCCTCTCCTGACTAACACTCACCGCTCTGTTGGGACTAACACATCATTGTCTCTCTAGGATAATGGCTGCCTTCTCTTTACTTTCTTAAAATGCTATAAACAATGGCAATGCAGCACTCAACACATTGCCTCGCAGTCAGCATATATAGCCTATAGATGTTGGATTTCTCTGCTAACCGTGAGTTCCTGGGACCAAGGACCACTTACTCTGTCTCAGCACATGATAGGGCCTGGCATGTGGTAAGTAATCAATAAACAATACTTGGCCCACCTGGCATGGCTCAGTGGTTGAGCATCAACTATGAACCAGGTCAGGGCACATGCACAGGTTGTCGGCTTGATCCTAGTGTGGGGCGTACAGGAGGCAGCTGATCAATGATTTTCCCTCATCATGGATGTTTCTGTCTCTCTCTCCCTCTTCCTTCCTCTCTCTGCAATCAATAAAAATATATTTAAAAATAAAAAAATAAACAATGTGTTCAATGAGATTGTGAGATTTAGGTCATGAGCAAAGCAGATATTTTTAAAACCATAAAAACCATTGAAAAATGGTTAAATTTTTAAAAGTAATTTTATAAACATGCACAATAAACTTAACTCATCTCTTTGGCAATAGAAACTGGACTAAATAGTATTCTTGTGAAGTAAATGTGAATAAGAACCTGCAATGCTGCCCAAGTGTCTTGTTGCTACTTCCCTCACTTACATGGACGGAAAATTATTGAATATCCAATGCTGTATCTTTTGGGTTTTCTCGGAATCCAAATCCCTGCCATCTCTGTGTGGTCTGAAGTCAAGCATCTTCCATCATAAGCCTCAAGTATCTTATCCCCTTAATTGCTTAAAACACCCTTTAAAACGGTGATCTACGAATTCAGATGAATTTTAATTTTATGGAACTAGAATAACCTAAACAAAAAAGAATGTTCACAGCTCATCTATGAAAATAACTAAAATGGTTATCTTTCCATCAGCAAACTCCAAGCTCCACATGCAAGAGCCTTGGGAATTACGGACAACTAATACCTCTCTGGTTTAGCACAGTTGCTTCGTGTTACTTTCCATTCTTTTTCCTACTTCTAATGTATAAATTGAAGAAGCGCCCCAAATCTTATTGTAGGAAGATCCCAAGATAAATAATATTCACAAGCTTGAGAATCCACTGAAGAGGTCAATAGAAATTTCAAAATTAGCAAGTTCTCCGTTCGCAGCTCCCATCTCATTACTCAGCCAATCCCATCCCAAGCCTAAAAGTATGTTTTGATTCTTCTCTTTCCCCCATACCCTTTTTCTTTATAAATTAAGTCAGCTCTGCCTTCAAAATATCTTCTAAATCTGGCAACTTCTCTCTTCCTGTTGACTCCCACTGTCCAAATCGCCAACACGGCAGCCACCAGAGAATGGCAGGCAGGACATGGACACTCCCCCTGCCTCCCCTCCCTTCCCTCTCTCCTCCACTCCTTTTCCCTAAAGAATCCTGGCACATTTAATCCTGACTTGGTGGCTCTTCTAGGAAGGATGTGGCCTAACACAGCCCTCTTCCTTCTGACCAGGGAAAGGCTAACAACCCGCTTCCATTACCCTCTGCCCACTCTTGTCCCATAGAGCATGTTCCATACAATAAGCAGTGATCTCTTAAAAACATAAATTAGATCATGTGACAACCACAACGCCCACCTCTCCATCTCCCAGCCCTGTTACCCTCCTATTACATTTAGACTGACTCAAACTTATTCCTTCACGTCACTAAGATCTCTGCTCAGATGCCCTCTCCTTAGACTG